ATATTTATTTTTTATAATTAAACACTTGGTATATATTATATTATACAAACAAAAGATAGGTATACAACTATAGAAGATAATGCAGTTTTCTACATTTTAGATAAAAAGACAATTTTCAAACTGCAAAATGTTCAGTAGGTATGCCTATATATGTATACCAATATACTGTAATTAGTTCAAATATCGTGAAAGAATTCAAAAAATCTCAAAAGATTCACGTACCCAACTTTCTCGCTTTTGCACTATTGTAACAGTAACTACTTTAACTCTTGCACAACTATTTTACCACTAATACAATGTAATGAAAGTTAACAACGTAACTGTTAAAATGCTTACAATCTAATAATTATCCTATATTATACTTACCTATACAATATACATATTATACCTAATATCTTAATACTATAAGCAACGCAAAACCAAATATTTTCATTTTAAGTTTAGGGCAACCCTAAAAATATTTGAAATCAAAACGAATGAGGTCTTTGAATGCATATACAGAATATTTTTTAAAATACTGTTGATAGAAAAATGTTCATTGAAGAAAACAAATACAATCCAGACATAGTGTTATGTGTCTAATATAGTATATATATTACAAATTCAATATTCAATATTACTATAAAAAATATCATATTTTTTTGCTAGTAACAGCTCTCCGAATGGATAATGAATCAATTTCCATAATATTGAGTTTTATAAAACTAACTTATGCAGACTTCCGAAGTTTAGACGTAACTTTTTTATATGTTGAGTTCAATACATGTACTATAATATTTTTTAAATTTAAAAAAGTTTTATTAAATACAAATACCTATTTTATAATTTGAGTTGGATGGGTTGGGTTACATTATTTTAAATATGAAGAAGCTCATTTTCTTAACACTTGAAATTGAAAATTTGAATGGTATAATATTATAAAATAATATCACAAATACATTTTTTGGATTTCTTCTATTAATGTTGTTACACTTGAAGAATATACTTGTCTAGAAATTATAACCGATTTTAAAAAATCCCGATGTGGATTAATTTAAGTATTTTTATAATAATATAATATTTCCTACCTAATAATTTTGTATTTTTTTTTCTGTACATTTGAAGTAAAAGATAAAAATTGAATTTATACAACTTTCTTCAACAATTTTCTTTAAAATTTAATATTACTTATACTTATTTAGGTTCTTTTTACATAACTCGATTTTACATTGCTCAATTGTATACAGCCTGTCTACTATAATTCCCCAAAATGTAATCTGAGCTTAGAGATAGAGAGGTTAATTTAAATAATTAAGTAATATACTATTAGAAAATAAATATACTACACAATGTACATTTTTATTCCGTGGCTTTTAATAACAGCTATAATATGTTTTATACTTTTATGACCATTTTAACATTGCGTATGGTATAATAAAACGAATAATTTGTCCGTCATGAGCATTGCTATGCATGCAATTCTAAATTCATTACCCTCCAGTTCGCACGCAAGGCCATGAAATAACATATCTATATTATTGTGTTATGCACCTTGGAGTGGTAATTAAAAAATGTAGGTACAATTTCGATATTATCGGTCGTCTGATATATACGTTAAGGCAGTATTGTACATTATCTAGATAAAAATATGTATCGCTTTTTAATTTCTTATCTTATCTATTGATAAAAATAATTTTAAGTATTTATTTACACACATCTACTAATTACAATTATATCTAAGATAAATTATCTAGATACAATTTTTGGAAAATGTGTGATTTTACTTTATTTTCAAGTTCTTTAAATTTCTTCTGTTTACTTTACATTCATTATGTGTTGTAGTATGTCTTCCCTTAATTTTTAGGTGACCAATCTTTGAGCAACATTGCAGATTCAACATTCGGTACGCGGTTTATACTTTTATGTAAAATACCTCATGCCAGCAGGTCGAATATCACAAAAGTTAAGCTATTACAATATTATTATATAATGGTTTTTTTTCTCAGTTGCATTGCAGTAAATACTCGTCTTGCTCGGTGCGACTGTCAAAAAAATTGTCTTTGTAAAGTTTTCGTTTAATTTTCACGTGCACGGGTACGAACCGGTGTATATACATTATTAAACTCTTATACGTCATAATATACCCTTATACATGTATAAGCGTCTTATCTAGAAAGTTTATAAATCTCAAGTTGTATGTAATATTATAATATAGATGTATCGTGCTATATACATGTACATAGTAAGTGGATATAACTTGTAACGACTTTAATGTTTAATTTAAACGTACGTATTAATTATGTACGCTATTTATGCAGCGTTTTCTTTGCAGTGTGGTTACCTACCGCTATAGGTTATTGTTCGGTTTGATTCTTGATACCACGTAGGTATTTAAGATTTTCGAACTTTCCAGACATACTATATGTATTATGAATTATGATTGTTATTGTTATTACATAATGCACGGTACACAGATTATCATAATTAGATTATCGGATCAAAATATATACGTGACGTAGTGCGTGGCACGACTTTGTTTAACTTACAAAACGGTCCGTTTAAAGCTGGAGTATATTATTTATGTGAGAAGGTCGACCAAGCATTTTAGTAAACACCGATCATATATAGTATGTGTAAGACAAGACTAATTATTCGTGGTTAATTGCTGCGAGCGTTTGATACATAGTTAATATTGGTTTGGTATAGAATATTTTGATTACATATTTGATATTATCAATGACCGACACTTGATTCGTCGATCAATCCAAAAGTAATTATAAACTGAAATGAAATTCGATTCTTTATCCATACCTATCTATACTTTATTTGCCAAACAGGAATAAGTGGGTTTTCATTTGAATTTGAAATAACCATTCTATAAAATGTTTAAGTACACGGTTTTCTGAGTTCAAAAGGTGAAATTGAATTGATTGATACTGTTAAAACATTTTATTTAGAATGTATTTAAGTTTAAGATCATTAATTAAAATCATTAATAGACAATAAATTTTGATTTGGAAATAATATTCTTTACAAATAGAAAAACGATTGCGATTAACAAAAAAAAAGTTTTAATATTATTGTCACGTGGAAGACTTGTTTGAAATTCTTTTTAATATTACTTTATGAATAATTCTAAATTATCTGCTACGAGTGCCACAAAGATTGAATATAAAAATAAAATCAAATATGATTGTATTCTCGAACTTACAAAATTATACTTTCGCTACCCCAACACTAAAATTATCTCTGATTTATCTCTCGTTTGATTACACAGTCTGATTCACAGTGGTAACGCCCATTTCATAAGATAAACATATTTATTTTAAATGAACTATACTTTAATATAGAAATAAAAATAACCTTCATAAAAAAAATGAGACACAGTTAATTATGATTTTAAATTATTCAATACTCTAAATATAAAAGTGCATTCAAAATATGATTTTCAGCGAAACTTAGTTTGAAAAATATTACATATATTATCTTATAACGTTCTCTGAATACTTCAGAGCAAATAAAGTGTTAGAAAAAAAGTGTATTTATTATCAATTTACTACAGCGTTCCCATATGACGCATTTCAAGTACCTATCTGCAGTGTTCTTACGCAGTGTCTAGTAAAATTAAAAATTGATTTATAAATCAATATTATACATTTAGATTGTAAGGTAACAATAATATGATATACATAAACCGAATTAAAAATATTTTGGGAGTGTTTAAGTGTTTGGCATATAATTTTATATCAATTACCTATGATACGGATGAACAAACACAAATCATCATTGTTTTTAATTTATGAACGTTGATATTTATGTAAATATGATGCTATTGGTGTGGCGTAGATTATACTAAACGAATGAAGAACCGAATTGATTGTATTTAGTCAGGTCTTATTTAATATTACACATTAATTAAATGTAATGTAATATTAATATTACATTCATTTTTTTAAGCTACTTTTGAATAGGTAACCTACCTATAATATCCGTATAGATGATAATATATTTTTAATGCTCGTTTCGATTATTATCATTTTTATTATAAACTGTACTAATATCTCTACTTATAAGTATTTTTTATGATGAAATTGCTTACTAATTAGTAAATAAGTGTTAAATAAGTGTTATACATTTGTTTTGTAAGTAAGTACTTACTTGTCAATTGGTTTGTTTTTACTCAAAAAACTAAAAATAAGATATTTGACCTTTTCCAAGTTACTAGCACGTAGCCGGGGATAGGCAAAACGGTCTTAAATATTTATTCGACATAAATACATTATACCTACCTACATATATATATATATATATACCTTAAATATTTAGTATAGGATCAATAATGTATAGAATTTATATGACGTATAGCGATAGCAACAACGAACTATATGCAGTGAAATAGACACATTAAAAGAAACACATTATTAATTTAATATAATTGCTTTATTCAATTTAATATTAGAATACATATCAGTTATAATTTATAAGGAAACAATAGTACGTTGTAAGTGTACTAATGCAGTTTCTCCAACCCATGGAAAAAACAAAATTATTGTTTAACTTCAAAATTAAGAAGTCAGTCAGGATCAAATGCACATTACACTAAAGGCATTAATAATTATTTTTTTTGAATTGATATTTAAAATATCAGATGACTTTTATTTTGTAAATTTGAATTACTAAAAAATAATATTAAATCAAATAATTAGTACAAGCGTGTGTTATTTTTACAATGTCACACGTAATTACCTACATGTTTGACATTACAATATTATAAATTAATTTTTACCCAATACAATCAAAATCTGACATTAAAAATTAAATTAGTTTGTAAAAGAATATTTTTAATATTAAACTGTGATATCTGCGTATAGAAAAATAATAAGTTTCGCACAACTCTATAGGACACTCTACCATACATAAATTAATTAATATTCTGCACTTGTATTTGCGTTAAAAGTTAATAATATATTAATACATATTATTATTAGATTATGTACTAATTTATTTATTTTGTATTATAGGGATCTGAAGATTCAGACGTTATAACAAATACAGCGGACCTGTCTCTGGGCATTGAGAAAGAAGCGCTGCGGCGCGAAAATGAGCACAGAGCTCGTTCTCAATTACTTAACAGCCGTGTAAGTATAATATATGAAAAACGAAAACTGTTATTTTATTATTTTAATAACCTTAAATTAATTGGAAATGGCAATACGGATACTGGATAGATGATATAGATTTTATATATTGACATGATGAATACTATTTTTAGACAGTATAAATATATAAGACGAAGTATTTACTTTTTTAAAAACATCCTTAATTATGATTTTTTTTTTTAGATACTTCTTCCCAAAACAACTAAAAATAATATAAATCATAATTTCGTTTTCGACTGTAATATAAGTACTCTAAACTCTAAAGGTCTAAAATGTATTTTGACTAACTTTTTTATACATTGAAACTAGTAGAAATATTAATATGCTTTATAGTTTAACAAAACAACTACCTACTTTAATAGGTTTTTAGTCATTTAAGAGTACTTTTGAAAATTGTTTTAATATCAATTTATATAGACTCATAAAAATTTGTTCTTACGCAAAATAAATATTTAAGTTTTCTGGACCTTACTATACATTAATAATTATTTACAAAATACGTAATTTAATTTTTGTTTTTTTTTTTATTTGAACAATACAATTCTGGTAATAGTACCTGAACATTATTTTATTTATAAAATTATAAAGTAATATAAAATGTTCCACAAACATGTTTGTTGAATACAATTGTACGATTTCGACATTTATCAACACAATGGCTGTGCAAATGTTGTATTTTTATATGACAGTGTTATAGTTATATATTTGTGATTTTCAGACAAAACCGGTGGCGTTTGCCGTTCGCACAAATGTCGCATTTGACGGTAAAAAGGATGATGACTCACCAATACAAGGCTGTGCGATCACATTTGATATTAAAGATTTTTTGCATATCAAGGTACGGTAGTTCAATGTTTTATAATAAAATAAATATCGTATTGTAGTATTTGGGTTCTATTAGTTAATATAAAACAATGCGTTTGTATCATAAATATTTTTCTAGGTACATCATACAATTAAATTTTTGACTTAACATGTAGTTCACTGTAGAAACATTTTTACAAAATTATTATTCGTAGGTATTGTATTTTTATTCTTATAACATGTTAGACTGGCAGGAAATTGAAGAAAGTCTTATGGACCAGCCAGTCAGAGCGTGTTTTAAGTTGTCCGTTTTTTTTATACACATAGCTTAGTCCGTAAAACACTTGGCACGATTTATAGTTTTAATTTTTTTTTTACAACATCATACTAAATAAGTAGACATTAGTTTTCAAAGTACAATAATCTTTTATTTTTAATATTTAGAATAATATGCATAGTTCTAGTTTATTAACCAAGTTTATCTTAAACATATAAAGCTGAATTCAATTAAAAATTATGTATATGTAGATTTATATTAATGAGGATTAAAGACAATATATTTTGTAAGATTAATTACAAAAAGTTAGTTTTGTATTAAAATGAATTATTTATACATATTATCTACAAAAAAAGTTATTGTAATATTGTTGTAAAATGATTAAAATAATTATTAATTATCTACCTTGTTTTGTTTAATTATTTATTTTGCTTATATTTAAATCACAATATTAAGATTTAAGGAACATTTTTTATTCGTCTTTTCAAAATGTGAATCAACATAATATTTTCTTATGTAATTTAAACATATGTAAACCCAATGGCCTATGTCGCCGAGGGCTCTTTCCTTGAAATTAAAAAAAAAAAAAATATATATTTTCTTATTAAGTTTATGTAAACTAATGGTAGTATTGATCATAATTCGATATAATTTAATTTCATATACATCGGAATCGTATAATATTATACGAACGTTTTCGAAAATGTTGAACAAATTAATACCTAGTTACCTAGTTAGTTTTGAAAAATAAAGAAATTAATTTAAATATTCGATACAATTATTTAAAGCGTCTTAAAAGCTATATATTTATAATATCTTAAACATAGTATAAAGTGTTTTATTTTTAAGAAAAGTATGAGTATGAAAAATGTATAATAAACGACCAAAAAGAGGGTTGTATACCCTTAGTCTCTTAAAACTACTTTTATACAAAAAGTTTCTTGGAATTCTCCCTTAAACAAAAATACAAAATTCGTCTTTGTGATTTTCTGATACTATACAGTTCACGCTGTATTTATGTCTTTTGAAATGTGAAGAGAATGGTATGACGTTTTCAAGTATCCTCAATATGCTTTCACTACTTGTACATTCACCTTAGACCACTCTTAAAATGTCCACTTGCAAAAATGTCCTGATACAGCCTATATAATGATATAATCATACTGAATATTATTTTTATTTTTATTGATCATAAATAAAGGCTTAGAGAGGATAGAGTCTATACAACAATACAAATAGAACATTATAATGATATATCGGTGCATACTACTAAAGTACCAAATTGATAAGAGCAGGCAACTTATACCTGTCGTATTTATTGACGGGTTATTTGCGTCCTAAACTATAATTTAATAATTTCGTATTGAAATTACAGCCGTATCAATTTAATTTGACAGCTTGGTACGTACGAAGAAAATAATATGTAGGTAGGTACATTGTTAGGTATATTGTTATATTTAATATTACAGCTAAAATAATATTGAATATTAATAAATAAAACATTATGATCAGTCAATATTGTTTAAAAATAAATGACAAAATATATTCTAATTTTAGTTTCAGTATACATTTCATTTTGTTTATCGATTACTCCTATAATTTGTTTTTTGTTTAGTGATCGAACTGTTCATAAGAACTAAGAACATATTGCATATTATGTATTAATTGTTGTATTAAAATATCCCCACTATGTTGTAACAATCTATTTATCTTAATTTATTATAATCTAGATGTGAGCATATATTGATTCGTTAATTTCGATACAAAATTATCGTTTGAGGTGCAAACAATTAATCGTCAATAAAATATAAATACGATTGGTAAGTTGTCTCCGATAATGTGGCACCCAACTTACCCACCATAATATTAGAAATTCTCATCGAGAAGGTTCATTATCTCCCAATTTCTTACATAAAAAAGATTAGTTTACTAATATAATTTTGGTATTTATTAATTTATACTAAAAATAATACGATAAGAAGATAATAATTCAAAGGTAAATTTTATTTTTTGAGAAAAATGGCCGTGGCCTCTTATTTAATAACCTTACCGGACGCAATTAACATGAAATCTGCTGTATATTATCATTTTTATGTTATATACAAAAAATAAATGGTTGGGTTAATTGCAAAAAAAATATTTTAATCGATATTTTTTTTTTTTTATTATTAATTGCATTTCATAAATTATAAATAGTGTATGCATATTCTAAACACATTAGGTATAGCATTGCCACGTCAAAAAAAAGTTTTTTTAACTTCTTTGGGGAGCTATAAACAGTCAAAACCCCTTGTATACGTGCCTGACTACATAACATATTTTTAATCGTGTCGTCAAAGAAATTTAATTAGTACTGAAAAACAATTAATTGGTATTAAACAAAACTGAAATTTTTACCTATAAGAAGACTAAACTATTTAATTTATTTTTGAACTAGGAAACTCGTGTTCCATAAACGATTCTGAACAAAGTTTATTTTCTGTAAACTTATTTACAGAATGTTGTATGAACTATTTATGAGTATCACAACTTTAAACTTTTTATATTAATAAATTACAACATTTAAAAAATGAACTGAAGAATTTCAAAATAGTTTAAAGCTAGTTGTATATAATTAACTTTAAAAGTACTTTCAAGTTTCAATTTATAAAATGCCCATTTAATTGAATACAATAAAAAATTCTGTTAAAAAGGGCGGAAATAATAAAATGTTTTCGAAAACTAATGATGCATATAAAATACTTCATTTGTTGTATGATACCCTCTGAAGTGTTTCACAGTTTTGTTTTAATTGATGATTAATTCAACAAATAAATATTAGGTAACTCATAATTATTATTTTAATTGTATGCATACTTTTTTTAGTAAACAGCATTTGCAGATTTAATGGATTATTAGATTAAATTGTTCTACTTCTTTTAATGATAAAACTAGGTACACTAAAAACCAATAATAAATATTTAACGTTGTAAAATGAGATTTTATATTAGTTCGTGATGTAGTAAATCACATGTTGCTGCACCATGTGTTAAAACATTTAATACTACAGAAATCGTTGCAACTATGGTGGACATAAATACAGGACAACAAATAGCTTACAGTTGTTAGTAAAATAAAAATATATATTTAAATTTGCATAATATGGTTCACAAATAAAATGTCATGAAAAGAGTGCACTGTCTTAAAATACATGTAACGTTATTAACCTAGAGTTTTCCACAGCCAATTTTTTTATAGATTTGTAAAAACCATTTAAATATTTATTGGAAAATTAATTTTTGTATTATTATGTTATTGTTATTATTACTATTATTATTATTATTATTATTTGTTTTTGAATCGTTACAGGAGAAATATGACAATAACTGGTGGATAGGCCGACTGGTGAAAGAGGGCTCTGATGTGGGTTTTATACCATCCCCCGCCAAACTCGAACTCCTGCGTCAGATGAACCCGTCACGAAGCTCAAAAAATCATTCTTCCAAAAACTCATCATCGTCAAACTTAGGTGGTGTAGTAAATTACTTGATGTCTATAGTTAAAAATAAGGGGTTGACTACAGGGGTCACCGGTAATATCCTCAATTGTGAAAAATAATCATAATATACAATACATTTATGATTTAAATTTAATTTCTTAACCTCGGCATACTTTACGGACCATCAAAATATATTCAATCATATTTTTCAAACAGTTTCTACGAAAATATAAGAATGGAGTATTGTAGTGCCGTCAAATAAAAAATTGTGTTCACAATATAGAGAGAATAATTTTAGAAATACTAAAAACAAATTATGTGTCCCGAGAAAAGTGATTAATGACTGACAGACATAATAATTTAATGTACATTCATTTATTTTTGTACAAGATTCTGAGATGAGTGACAATTGTATTGGTTTTACAATGATTTGTGTTTTTTTTTTTTTATAAAAAAATACCTCAATGTTTATCTCTAAGGGTGCTATCTGCAAGCAAGTACTTGATCAAGTTGGTACTATGAATGTAAAAAAATATAAAAATAATATGAAAATCTCATAATTCACAAAAAAAACCGCTGAAAACAAAAATATTTAGACAACACAAGTTTTGACAAAATCGATTTAGTCTTGATGTAATTAAAAAAAAAAGTTACCATTTACGGTTTTGGCACTCGAAACTTTCACAAAATAGTTGTGGATACTAGCATTTTCTAGACATGATATAAATTTCAAAATATTTTAGTGGTTTTTTTATTTATGTTGATATCTAAGTGTTTTATTTTTCAATCAAAAAACATGATAAATTAATACAAGGTTCATATACGTTATTCCTAAAGCAGTTTAAAATCACGAAAGTACACAGGGACAATTTATTATTTTTCATATGAGAACATTACATGTTGTTAAAATACATTAGAAAGTTTAAAAATATTCAAATTTTTGAACAGTTAAATATCCATAAAATCTTCAAATTTAATATTTCAGGTTTAAAAATGTAGTAAGTACGAGGTTCTTTATACATTTTTCTCATATAACAATATAAAAATATCGGAAGTACAAACGAAAAATGTCTAAACGAAAGATAACAATTTTTCATGAACCCATTTTGGGGATTTGATCATTGTTCAAAAAAATATTAATCATAGAAGCTACTGAAACATTCTACCTTAACATAAATTATTGTTTTCTGTTGCTACACCGACCAAATGCAAATTATAAAATATTGACACATTTTAATTTTGATACCATAAACCAATTAACACCATTCTGCGGAATATAGATGATTTATAATTTATATGAAATGTTTTTGCAAAAATTAGTTCAACCTACTAAATTGAGAAAATACTTATGATCTTACCTTTTATCTATTATGTAACATAAACTATCCTTAGGAATAAGTACTTTCGCGAATACTTCGCTCTCAAACTCGTTTTTACGTGTACTATGATTCATTTAATTCAAATTTAACATATCTATTATTAAATTGACCCTACTCAATGACCAAATACACTCGAATCTATTTTTTTATTCTATACAGTAGAAACTAGTTTCTTCTTTTTTATTTATCGTATTTGATACAATTTTCAAAAATAATAAATCATATACGTAATACTGAGTGTATATTTTGAACATGTGTTATAGCGTGTATTAAAACTCCATAAAAAAAATATATATTATAGAAAGTAAAATAAAAATAAACATAACCGACTACAGCGATCAGAAATCAAAAAAAGGTCAGTAATATATTCAGAATATCTGTTGTAAAGCATTTAAAATTCTCGAATTCATCCGACTTATCCTCTCAAATTTGATTTTATTGGAGGTTGTTAAAAATGTCTGTATTGCTCCTTAGTTTGATCTGCTCTATAGTATGGATCTGTTCTTTGAAACTAACAAATACCTATGGATTTCCTAGTGGTTGAAATGTGAATTTCTTTCATTTGCTGCTTTTTCTCCTAAGGTCCTCTGCCACCCACATGATTACTACCCTATCCGTAAAGTTGTAAATTTATCCATTTTTGCTATTCGAAGATGTATTGTGAGTGTCCTACCCTCCTTTTACAAATAAGTTTTGAAGTCCCATCTCGCCATACTAGATAGTAGATACACTCCTGTTTCCTGACTTCTGTATTCTACTTTCTCATCTAATTATCTATTAAACACTCCTCTCTCTCGTATTATGCGTCTTGCTTATGAAAATTATCTTAATGAATCTTTTTTTTAACTTTATTATAGAACAAACAGTCTGTAATATATAATTTATAATAGGTATGTGTGTGGATATATATATATATACACTTATTTCTACACAAAAAAAGCCAGCCAATGGCAACACTTGAAATAGAACTTTATTTAAATTTTTTTTTTGATTGTATTGTGGTTTAGATCACGACACCATCTTCTCTTTATCCTTTGAGGAGGGTTACTAGGGATGGCGTCAGAATTTAGTACTGATATTAGGGAGTTTGGGTGATTAGTCAGTATTTTTGCTTTTTCGTTTTGTGTTGTTAAGTAATCTTTAAATAATTCATCAACTGGGTCTTTTATCATTATTATTATTATTTATTCTTCTTAAGATATTATTGTAAATATCAAATGAACCTATCAATCTATGTTTAAGCCTCAGCCTTTATTATTATAAAACAAATAACACTAATATACTACCTTATTGTATAGTAAAAAGTAAAACCTAATTGGTGTATTTGGAGGACTATCTACAGACAAAATTAATTAAGGGACTTATTAAAATTACTGAGGATCATTCACAAACTGAATATCGTATTTAATACGCTATACATACAAAAATGTATAACACTTGTTATGCATTGTTTAAACAAATTAAAAAACTTAAATAAATTCCCACCTATTATAGATCCCCACTATGGTGGTTTTTAATTGAAGTATAAATAGTTTTTAAATAGTTTTTAAATAGTGTGATTTTTTTAAGCTTGTCGGTCCACATTTATTATTTGTTCATATAATATTATAGACATAGGTGCAATTTTAGTTTTTGACTTGGGGGGGGGGGCTTTATATATTCAATTAAATAAAACAGAGAGTGTTGTCCCCCACGCTCCCCGTTCAAATACTATGAAAATATATTACTTTATGTAATATAATATACCTATCATTAAATAACATTATAAATTTATTATTTTTTTTTTCAGCCACTTTCCTACATAAAATGTACTAATATACTATATATTATAATACATTCTACGTACCACTAAAATCAAAAATAGTAAAACAAATTATAAAGTTTAGGTACTTATAGGTATCCTGGTGTTTATTTTATCATTGAGCACTTATTATTTTAAAAAGCTTAAATGTTTTTGAAAAAAACATTTTTATGGGTCTAGTTGTTAAAAACAATTATTTAAAAATATTATTCGTGTATAAAATATATTTATTTTGTATATATTATTCTCAACATTTTGTAAATCTTTACTTTTTGAATGACACCTTAGAGTTTTAAATTCATATTTCAAAACAGACTATTTTTAATATTTCGATACCTACATTATACAAATCGAATTCAGCACAAGTACTTCATGACTTATTAGTTATGAGTATTTAATGTTTTGATGAGCACGGTAGTGTACCATCATTTACTTAATCGCTAATCTAAACTTTAAATACTTATATAACTCAAAAACGAATCGTCCTAAATTCAAATTGTATGTATCAATACATTTAGAAATATATTATGGGTTGAAGTATAAAATTAAAACTGAATGTGGTCATTTAAAAAAGTAAAAAACTTATAATGTTGAGGATAAAAAATATTTAATGTCGTTTCTAACGACTATAGACGCCATCTAAAAATGTATTATCAAAAACACATTTATATTTTTTGAAATAATAATTAATTTTATGTTAAATTATAAAAGAATCAACCAGTATATATATTATAATCGTCACCGTCAATTCGAAATTACAAATTTATAAAAAAAAAACCTTCTACCTATCGAGTATTTGACTGTATTCTAGACCAATTTAAATGTTATCAGTAATGTATTGTAATTAGTAATTTGTAATACTATCATTAAAAAAATACTATGCTCTGTGGGTAGATATCTACTTTGGAAACCACACGAATCGTTGTTTAACAATAGAAAATAATTTCTTCAAACAACGTTTCTGAATTATGTGGATTAGATAACTAATGAAGGATTTAATACTTTAATTAAAATACAAATTTTTAGAGGGACTAAGTCTCCTCTAATTTCGTACATGGTTATAGATCAATTTTTCAAACAAATGTCACACCGGCTAAGCTACAAATTAATTAAATAGTAAATATCACATATAACCATAATAAGAAATTTATTTTATAGCCAAATGAATTAAATTTGTGAAGTGCGTATGACAAAATTAAAATATACTGGAATAAATATGCTTTAATAAATGTATTTATTCCAGAATAAAACGTGTATACATTTCATAAATAATTGTAAATAGTATCGTCAAAAGTAAAATAAATGCCAAACCCGTTTTTCTATAATAAGTCTCTACTTCGGAGTTAAAATTGAAATTTTCAAAACCAATTTTTCCTCGCAAAACAGTATGTATGATTATCAGTAGGTACTTGAAAGTAAACTAATAAAATGCGGATCAGTTTTGTAGATTAGTCGAATTAAATTCCTATTTACTTACTCCGAGTTCAATTATAATATTAAACTTCAAACTGTTCAGTCGATATCTGTCCCGCTACACCGGATTTGAATATTAAACGTTTAGTTGAAGTGCCTACTGGTATTCACAGCGAAATTAAACCGTATACATTACAATGAATTTCGTTGAAAAAGTTTAATTTAAAAGAGACAAACCTGGGGAACTCGCTTTTGCCGTACACAGTTTCGCTGTGTTTTGAGTGTACCTCGTCTTTGGGATAGGTAGTTCACTGTAATAATAGATGTGTTGAATTTTAATTTAAAGATAAATCGTTTTTATATTATGAAAAACTGAGATGAGGTGGAGTAGGGACTCCATGTCTAAGTAAGTTAAATATCAGTATACATACACCTACAAATAGATACGCCCCTGTCTTATTTAATTAGGTTTTATTTTTTATAATATACACTGACACAGTGTAGTATATTAGTATTAGTGTATTACTAATCGATTTAACTTTACTTGGTTTCTGATCATTCTATAGTTAGGTAGGTATTTGATTTATTTATATTTTACTTTTTATATATAAAGTTATACACACTTTTTATTATTGAATGAAGTATTTAATAAACATCATGTATACCTACGTACATCGTATTGCTCATAAAATGGTTAATTATTTTTAAAATTGTTATAAAATATGATTAATAAAGAAACCGGGGACTAGCTTCTGTTGTGTATTGGAGATGGGCAACTGGCAGCCCGTATCATTTGTATCTGGTCGGTACTAAATTTTTGATTTTATCATTTTTAACTCAAATGTTTAAAAGTTAAAATGATCTCATAAAATGTCGGACAAACATTTATTTGTATTGGTAAACTATACTTTATCCGTAGAAGATAGGTGTTAATTCTTATCTTATAATAAACTGCAGCTAAATGCCTAAGTATGTAAAATTTCTAGTTAATAGGTGGTAGGTTGGTATTTCACAATGGCAGCTTTGTCTTATCCTTCGGGCGGCGCTGTCTCAGCATTATTATTTAGGTACCTGTTTTGTAATGGTTTAAAATGTGCATAAGATTTTTTTTTTCGTTTTCTGTGCTCAAACAGTCCTAAAATTTAAGAAATAAATAACAAAAACGTTTAGCGGTTAAAAAAATATGATACTAAATAATAATTATGAGCATGTTAAGACGTATGCGTTATCTCCGCCTTATACTAACTAAATAAAATTTCACTCTGTAATTTTTAACATGAGAGTAAAATGACCTATCATCAAGTTTAAATGTAAAAATATTTATCCTATAGAGGTTTTGATATTTTAATTTTAAAGCAACTTATGAACATTTTGTAATTGTACATATTATTTTGTGAAATTTACAACGACCACAACTTTCTTGAAAATTAAAATATCGGAAAAATCCTGGATAATTTATTTACTTTTAAATTGTATAGAAAAATAACATAATTAGAAGAATTGTTCTGAATGTAAACTTTGATATGTTGTGCATCTGTAAGACGAAAACAATACATAACGTCCTCTGAACGAAAATAATTATTAAAAAGTCATATTTAACACTAATAACGTATTATGTGTGTAATGTTCATATGGAATAAAATGTTTATGAAGAGACAACTATTTTAGACAAACGATGTTTGAGTATACACTCGTAGATCCTCTACATTAGGTCTATTAACTATAGATATAGTGTTATTAAAAGCTAAACTATTAAATGTTTCAAATCATTATTTAAATGCTCAATAATATCTGTAGTTGAGTAGTTAATAGAATTTAAATAAACTGTTGTTTATATCTATACTTCTGTTTTTAATAGCTGAAGATGATGATCCTATTGGAAGTGGTCGAATATCTGCTAGAACAACATTAACCGCTCCCACAGCCAAAGACAAACGTAAAATTTTCTTTAAAAAACAAGAGACCACACCACCTTACGATGTTGTGCCATCTATGAGACCAGTTGTTCTTGTTGGTCCATCTCTAAAAGGGTACGAGGTGACCGACATGATGCAAAAAGCTCTGTTTGACTTTTTGAAACACCGTTTTGAAGGACGGTACGTTGTTATATGGTTTGTTGTATACTTAAAGGAAAATATTTTAACGGAATCGGAGTTTTATTGATCCATTTTCTTCCATAATGATATGGAAAAATCAGCTATTCTCATTGTTGATTGATTTTTTCCAGTATAATTATTACACGTGTAATGGCCGATATATCCTTGGCCAAAAGATCTCTTCTCAATAACCCATCAAAAAGAACAGTTATCGAAAGTAAACCGGGTTCAAACTCAAGATCGAATATAATGGCTGACGTACAACAGGAAATAGAACGGATTTTTGAACTAGCGCGAACACTACAGGTCCAACAATTAAATTTATTATACAATTTCGACTTTCTAAATATTAATTTTTTTTTATAGCTTGTTGTTTTGGATTGTGATACCATCAATCATCCATCGCAATTAGCGAAAACTTCTTTGGCACCAACCATAGTTTACTTGAAAGTCTCGTCACCTAAAGTAAGTATCTTAAATTTCTTTGACTAAAACAAGCTATGGATATTGGAAAAGCAATCTCAATTTAACACCTTGACGTATTTTAATAAATTGAGGATTTTTATAATTTTCATGATTTCAAACAATCGTATTTTATTCATTATAAAACTATTTATAAATATAAATATAATTATAAATTGTTATTTTAAAAATATAGGTAATATACACTATGATATCAAAAATATATATTCCCAATACAAATCGAAATAAATGTGTCTTACCATGGACAAAAACTGTACAGCAAATCGAACTAATAAAATATATATTACTCAAGTGCTGTTTTACCTTCTGCAATAATTGACAAATGTATAGCAAGCGAAACTAATAAGATATTGCTTAGTAGTCTGTGTGAATAAATCAACTATTTGTGAACATACAGTTATTTTCTGGAGTAAAAATAATTGTTGTCATTTGTAAAACGAATAAATAATACTTTTTATTCTATTTTTTATTCTATACCAACGGACATTTCGGACCGAATTTTAAAACTCATAAAATATGATTTATGTTGATGAATGATAGTTATAATTGAAGCTTGAGTATAAATACGCCATTTGCTGTCGTTGGATTGTATACTTGGTGCACTTGCCCATATAACTGGAAGAAAATCAAAGTTAGGCAAAACATAATTTTTCAGAATATAATCTGTATTTTAACAGTTGTCGTTTAACGAGTTGTCAGTTTTCCGTTTACAAAATGTGTTATGTGCGCAACCGAATATCGCTCATAAAATGTCAAATAGAAAACACCACCAGATTAAGCCTATACATTCCATCTGTGTAGCAATTAATCGTATAATATCCTATAATATTATACGTGGAAATCGAAAGGATATTAATATATAGCAAATTACAATATCAAATGATATGTGCACACGTGATGTGTTCCCAATTTTTGAATACTAATATTACTTAATTATTTTACTTTAACAAATACGTCACAAGTCTCGCAGTAATAATAATAATTAACGTTCGTTTATATCGTTTTGGTGATTATAAACTCGGCTCCAATTTTTTTCAGGTAAAAATGATTGATATATTCTAAACTCAGCTGGAAGAAAAATATGGTTCTGATCTTCTTGTATCTATCAAATTAGATTTTAACTTATAATATTTTTAAGAACCATTTGACCATTTAGCATAATCAAGAGGAAGCGAGATTCTCATTATCCTCCAAAAATGATTCCATTAAATCGACAATAGTTGTGATGGTTATGTAAACAGCATTGAAACGTCGTTTAAAAATTCCAATATGAAAATGAATTGATTTGTATTTATATTTAGGTAGTATTAGTTACATTATATTTTAAAAAATCATCAATGTATTATTATATATAATATATTTTTGTACGTTATTATTAACTAATCAAATCTTCTCAAACTTTCAAGTTTATTATATTTTATTGGGCCGAGTTAAACTATCTAACTTTTTTATTTCTTGTTATTTCTGTGTCGAACTCACAACAAAAAGGTACCTAGTTTACATTTGCCATTGCATATACTGCTACAGGTACTCCAGCGGTTGATCAAGTCCTGTGGAAAGTCACAGACCCGACACCTGAACGTGCAAATGGTGGCGTCCGAGAAATTGGCCCAGTGTCCGCCAGAGATGTTCGACGTGATACTGGACGAGAACCAGCTGGAGGAAGCGTGCGAACACATATCCGAATACTTGGAGGCGTATTGGCGCGCAACCCACCCGCCCGTCACGCCCGACCCCAACGAACAGCAGCTCTTGACCAGGCCGATCAGGAACTCTCCGAGCATGGACATGCCCATCATGTCGTCCATGATGAATAACTACCAGCCGACAGGTGAGTCGCAACTGTCGTACTCGTTGGTGTCGAGCATCAACGTGTTCGCTAGTCCCATCATCCGACTGCAATGATATATAATATTATATCGATATCAATATATTATTTCATTGTTAATATATATCATAGTATCGAATAATTATTGTCATCCACATGTGGGTATATTATACGTAGGTAATGGCCGGGGCTGGGATTTTATAGCACTTAAAATTGCATAAATATGCAAACAAAATAGCAAAAATAGTTATATTATGAGTAATAATATATATTATATAGTTATTATTTAAATATCATTATTTCTTAATAATTTGTATTACGTGTATATAACATAAAATATATTATATATATGCAAAAAAAACATAAAATAAAAATAGTGCTTTAAAGTTCCACACGAATTTCAAACAAGTAGGTATAAGTACAAATTATATTAATACAATCCTATACGGTTGTAAAAGTGAGTGTATCCGTCGGACTCATTGGATCAAATTTGTAAAACAAATTATTTTATTTACAATTTACAATTTACCCCCTGCACGATAATACACGCTAAACACGATTATTGGCAAAGAAGTTAATCACATTGTATTAATTCATAAAATATAACCAATTTTGAAGAAGTATAGTGCAAAAATATGCAAAATTAAATTTTTAATTCTGATTCTCTGTATCTATCACAAAACAAATTTTAAGCTTACTCTACTATTTTTAAGCATCTTATAATAACATTTCAAATTTCTATAAAATCCTAATCTCGGTATTGGCCATCTAAAACACTGATACATCGATGCGTAGGTATACTGCAGTGTACAAACGCGTAGAACAAATTGTATATGTTACCTATGTTTAAAATGTACCCATATGATTGCGCTTTGTTGTATTAAAATTATATTATCGTTTTACTGTATATTGTATGGATTGGCTTTATTTTGGTTTGGAGGGAAAAAATACCATCGATACAATTCAACGACAATTTATTCAGCTACTGAAACGTCGTTCATCCCGAGTAGATATAAAAATAAACCACCTCGTGCATCATTTCGCAAGACTGGGCAATTCGATGAATGAGTTTGATTAGTTGAGTTGAGTAAGAAAAAAGCCAACACCTAGTCAATCGACTTATCAAAACTAAGTTGAATAATAATTATGCTTTCGGGAAGTGGACAGCATTCGTACATTGTTTCTGGGTTGCTATATAAGTCATAACTATCTGCAGACTCGAATGCAATTTAATTCAAAATTAACTTGATGTTTATCATTTCAAATAAAACTCATCAACTAATTTCAATGCCCAGCCTTGTAATAATGCGTAGTGTGCGTGTACGTACGTTTTATGGTCTTATGTACATGATGATTTGTTTGAATTGAGACATTAATTATTTTAATTTTTGGTTAACTTTGATGATTTTATAAGGTTTAAATCACTTGAAATGCAGTGATCTACTCATAATCTCATTGTATCCAATGTTTATAAAATAATATAAGAAACAATAATAGACATTTAACGTATAATTATGTTGCTTTTGACAAAAGTAAAATATTACATTAAGACTTACTGTGTTATGCTGAAGAATATTAATTTTACTTAGACAAATCACACGTTGGTACTCATTTCAAATTATATATAGTTACCTATATAAACAAAAAATGATCAATAATATAAAATTGCCTAAGGTTCAATAATGAGTGTCTCGAGTTAAAAAAAATTGTGTGTTTTATAATATTTGAATATTGTAATTTCCATCATAATATGTACCTAACAATATTTTATTATCTTTTCACTGCAGTTTACGCTTTTAACGAATATGGCCTGGCATCTGTATATATTACCTATATAATATTAGAATATTGTATATTATATAGGCTCCTTCTTTCTACCATGTTGTAAAATATTCGAACAATTGTGCCGGAATAATAACATATTAGATATAGTATAACAATACCTTATGCGAATTGTTGTTTCCGTATAGTAGCGGTATTAAAATTCATTTAATTCTCACTAAGGCATTCTTCTAATGCAATGACTGCACAAATTAATTAAGTAATAGAAGTATAGCTTAATTCCACGAAGCAAAATAAAATCGAAACCACTAAGTCTAAGTTAATACTTTAGAGTTAACCAAATCCAAAGAACACAATATTTTCGAAATGCTGTAGGTATATCAATTTCGTAAAAGATTCGTAACTCATACTTTGTACAAAAAGTTCAAACTATGAAGTTATCTCAAAAATATTCTCCTCTTAAAAATTAGCATTACATGTTTGAACTCCATAATATTGTTGTTGACTCCGCAATTTCGATTTTGTTTAGTATAATTTTTCTATATTGCTAATAAGATAGACAGGTAAACAGGTCCTATTAACCAGTGTTGTGAAGTATTTGAGTATATAAGTATTAAAATTATCGTTCATTTGATTACATTTTAAATACTATTTTACCTAACCTAACCTACGTTGTTTTGAAATTGTTTGTTCTACTTTCAATTTAAAATATTTGAAACTGTTGTAAGAATAAACGATTTAATAATAATAAAAAAATATATTATTTAAGATGTACTTAGATACCTATTCTATAGTATAATACTCAAATAATTTTTAAATGTTTTTTTTACAATACTGCTCACACAAACTTACAGTACCTGGTCATTATGTCTAATCGTATATAGAAACACTTGTGTGTGTTTTTATATGTTTAATAATATTTTATATTTTTATAATAACTGTTACCATTGGGAGTAAAGCGCATCGCCTAATGTCCTACAAACCACAGTAGGTTTATTATATTGAATAAAAGAACACGAAAAACTTTAACGAATCTTCGGCGGACGAAGAGTGCATAATATATAATATAATTATAATGTTATGACGAGATGATATTGTGCTTTGGCGTTAAAACCGGGTGTGTTCCTAAACAAGGCATTATGAAGGAGCAAAGTACGATATTATAGTATAACTTAAGTATTACACTATGATCCACGACCATTTCTGGAGGGGTGTATTCGACAGGTACGTGTCCGATTGAAATGAATCCAAATGTTGAATGCTGCAAAAACCCGTACGTCCAAATTTCGGACTGTTTATACCCTATCATGTCGACAGTGATCACAACTTAATATTGAACTCTTTCTGAATTTTCCTTCAAAACCTATTATTTCCAAAACCCTTCTTATTGAGATCGTTGTCGGTGTGTATAGAGTACAATACGTCTCTTTTTTTCCTCACTTGTTCTATTATCTATTTAGTACTAACTAAACTTTAAGTTTTATGTTGACTTTGTTTTTCCTCTAACATACAAACTCATATGAAAATTCAACCCATTACTACAACTTTAAAATAATTGTTTAAATACTTCATCACTTTAGATAATAATATATTAAAATAGCGCGATAGTGTTTGTTATATTTTTCTTAAACTTGGGATCATCTATAATTGTGTAAGTTTATACAGTGTATTTCATGTTATCAAAAGTCAAACCACCTATAAATAGTTTTTATCAACATTTTAATTTTTCCTCAAATTTTAATGTTTTATTATTGATTTCAAAATTATGCCTAAAATGACTAGACTTTTATTCAGTGTGGAATTTGTTCGATACAATTCCAAAGTAATACGTACATTTATTTTCTGTTTTTCAAATTGATTTAAAAAAAAAAAATTAAGTGTATCCTGTATTAAAGTGTGTGTTTTCGTTACCTATCTAATATAACTTATTCATGTATAACCAAACTGTGACTAGCGTTTATATAACTTATATCCGATTCCTCCGCACAATTTATTTATTGCTGTGCATCCTTCGCTAATATTTGTTTTTATAAAAAATTAACTTCTCCATTTTGAGCTTCTCTACCCGACCTCAAAGTCTAACTCAAATATTTTGTTTTCAAAATCCAATCTCAGCGATTTTACTAAGAATACAAATACCCAAACTCGTTAATGCAATACGCTTAAAACACAATTCGATATCATTTAACCTAAAACAACAAAATACCAATGAGTAGAGTTTTTCACATGTTTTTATTTGTTGTTGCTGTGTCACTTAATTTTTATAAATTAATGTTAGGTATTTTTCATAACATCCTCACACAAGCATTCGTTAAGTTTATGTTTATCACCGAACTAGTCGGGATATTTTAAAAAACGCATATCATCGTCATTGGTCGCAGCATGCCAGCACGGCTTGTTCGCGGACGACGATCGAGTTAAGGTCGTGAATCACTGAGAAACGTCAAAATAGTATTCCATGTCCGTGGCCATGTGTATACACATACTATAGTAGTCACACTGTCAAAGACACACGGGCGTCATACAATTTCATTTTACATACAGGAGAACTCGTGCACATTAAGGTAGCTTGTTCCATTTTTCCCATGTGATCAGAGAACAAATTCAGTTTTTAGTCTTTTCTTTTTAATTTGTTTGGCTTTTTTGATGCCCTATCATGCATTCCCTCACTATCCATGTACTTATGTGTATGGCACGAATGTGCGGAGCTCGATTTTCGTCCACGGAGCCTGACACTTACTAAATCCCTATTATAACGAAAAAAATTAACGAGGTTTGCTAATATCCCTTGCGGTGTATTATCCAAATCCATCCTTACACTACCATGATATTCAAGTCCGGATTAAGGATCCATCATAGGACCTCAGAAAACCTGGACTTAAACACAGGGGTCCACTTAAAAGAGTTACTACTCCTAAACATATTTATTTTATTTACTAAAATCAATAAGCTCTACGATGTGCTTCCCGTACCCTCAACCATTAATCTGGACTTGATAATATGATAACAATATGTGCCCCTTAAAAAACTTTTCGTAACGAACGGTTTTTGCCGTGGAAATGTGTTTGCAGAATACCAATCGATGGATCGCATGCCTCCGCGTCTCGAGCGCATGCGCACCACAGAATACGATGACTACGAGCTCAGTGATCACGACAGCATGGTGTATGTGCCGCCTGCCATCGGGTACCAGTCGAAACAACCGCAGCAGCAACAGCATCACAAGCAACAGCATCATCATCATCAGCAGCAGCAGCAGCAACAGCAGCAGCAGCATCATCACCAGCAGCAACAACATCACCATCAGCAACAGCAGCAACAGCCGCATCATCATCAACAGCAGCAGCAGCAGCAGCAGCACCACCCTCAGCAGCACTATCAACAGCAGAAACATCAGCAGCAGCATCCGCAGAACTATCAGCAGCAGCAACAGCAACAGCAACAACTGCAACAGCAACAACTGCAACAGCAACAACAGCAACCGCCCATGCGGCGGCAACACAGCGTGTCATTCGAACGGGGCCAGTCGCAACGCGGACCGCCCCGTCCTGGCAGCAGCTCGCACAACGTGCACCACCAGCTGTCGTACCAGCTCAGCTCTCAGACCGATATGCTGACGCACAGCCCGCCCGAGAACTCGTCCGACCATCTCATGTCGTACATGTCGCCCACGCTCAGGTCTTCATCGTCCACGTGGCGTGGCAACGTAAACATTTAGTACAAACAGACGGAATTTTAATAACAGCACGTGTGACGTTAGGGTGACAGGATAGCGTTCGTCGTGTGGTACAATAACAACTATTACAATAACGATGTGGGTACTCTTTGGTTGATGTTTCGCGTTTGAACGACCTAGTCGTCGTCGCCGTCGTTGTCGTTGTCGTTGTGTTGTTATTGTCATTGCGATCGTTATTTGTTGTAACACAGTCGTCAGCGTGATTGTCATTAATATTGCCGTAACTAAAACAAATGTCATGTAAAATCCCGTTAGGGTATCATTGCGATATTATATATACCTATAAGGTATTAGGTAGTCAACAAATCTCGTAGAAGGTAGATAATAAAGAAACTGATATAGACATAAAATAATATAATATACAGTCGTGTCTCTATAACTTGAATCTCTATTGGAATAAAAATGAAAGTCGGCTTACGTATTTTTCGAATATTACGCCCAAACACAACCTGAAAACTCTTCAAGGGGCAAGGAAAAAATTCGATTTATCGAGATTCGGCTGTAAAAATGGATAGGACGTGTCCGCATTACTAATCGCAAGAGTAGGAAATCACCATAGAATAAATTGATAGAAATCTCATTTACGGGTACAACATTTTTTCAAAAATAATCCAAATTAACAGTGGTGCCAGAAAATAGATACATATTATATCCTTTTTTTAAGTTTTCTGTAGCATGTTGCTACGCAGCTCATCGTTTCATATTTTGTATAAATTTGAATACACATCGTTGCCTTAAAAAAAAAAAAAAACAAAGAATAATAAACTCATTTAAACTGGTGGACACTCTTTTTGTAATTTCCCATAAGTCCTCCCCCTCTTTCGACGATTCCTATTATTTATTTTGTGCTCTAACAACCTCACACCTCATTTGGAAACGTCCTATCCACTTGTAAATATGTTTGTTTGTGGATAAAACCCTAAACTCTTATCACTCAATTATCGTGTGGTAAGCATAGAAAATAAGTTAATTTATGTAATGTTATCCACTCCTTTATTATCTATGACATATAGACTATGAGACAAGGCGCTGCACTGGTATACCCAATACCCATGTATAGACTTATAGGTACATGTGTTCATGAAATGTACATGTCTATGGAGGTGTATACCTTGCACGGTAGTTAATAATAATATGATATAATATGTGTAAATATATTATTATTATTATAACTTAGTGAATACGTCATTAATATTACATTGAACTTCAATTGCCTTAATTGGACCAACATTATTTCTGAGTGCTTATTATAATTATTTATAATCGTATTTCGTATAAATATTATTAACTTTATAACGAATACATCTGCCTATGATTATCTGAACAATTTCAATACCTAGTTATAAAATATAATAAATTGTAGCACATAATTCATACAAATAATATTAAACTGAATTGCTATTTTTTAGGTGTAATTTTTTATGCAATCAATAAACGCCCGCCACTGGGTTGATTAGTGTAGTAGAAAGAATTAAATCCTAATTATTACTAAACTCTCAAAATTGATTGTAAGATAGCGTTTATTACTCTTATAAAACATAACGTTTAATGTTGTCAATAGTTTGTATAGGTATCTTAGAGTAGGTATACCTACGGCTAATATATAATAACGGGTAATAACTAATTTTAAGAAAAATTGATTTTCATAATGCTTGTCCTCGTTTATTCAAATAAAACGTGATACAATTATCATTATTATACTACCTGATCGCCTTTGTGTGTTTCTCTTTTTGTTGATGTTTTTTTGATTATAGTACCTATTGCTTTTTAATATAAGATTTTCTTTTTAATTTAGTTACTTGAATTACATTTTTTTATCGTTGTTTCGCTGACTTTGTTTGTTTTTTTTTCAAATGCGTACACGGTGTTCAAAAACAATGGTTTTCATCCTACAGGTGTACAAAACTGTGGTTTTTGAAAAATGTTTCCAAATTTATTATAACACACACTGTAAACAGGGTCTTTCCGAATTTCACGTTATAAAAAAACAACGGGTAATGCTTACTTAATAGAGCATTATGCAATCCCCCCAATTTTTGTAACCTGAAATTTGGAAATCACTGTGTATAAATGTAATTTAATTACTGAATTAGATTGCTTTTGTTACCCATAATAATATAATTATTAATTAACGGTCCTATGATTTCATATCTCAAAGTTTCGATTGGAGGGGTAGAAATTAAACGTTAATTGTGTATATATATTATATTATTATCATCCGGTTTTATTTACTTATATTATTATAAACTATAATATGTAATAATAATTAATCTTATTGTACCATTCATTTGGTTTTCGTTTTTTTTCTAATACTTTAATTGGACAATTGGAAGTAATTATTAATAATTTCTATTAAGTCAATTTGAAAATAAAATGTAACGATAAATAATTATTACTATAATGATAAAAGTAGGTGTAGTAGTTATCTATTGTTATCGTTACTCTTGAGAAGACTTCCCGCTTTAAATAGACCAATTTTTTTTATCTTTCATTGGCGGTCCACTCGTATGCTCTTAACGCTTATTGATAAACATTCATTTTGTTTAATGTACACGATTATTATTATGTAGACGTCGTTGTCGTTGTGTGTTAGTTGCTTTTGTAATATTATTTTTGTCTTCGTTTGACTTCCATAATAATAATAATATCTTAACGTCGTTACTCATAATCATAGTATTATTTTGAGGTACTTGTAACTTATTAGTGATTAATGATTATAATCTACTGAGTACCGACTATCGCTTACCGTTGTTTCATCAATGTATTATTCCGATCATCCAGTCCAATCGACTACCGACATTTTTATAAGTAGGTACATTTTAAAACATTTAAAGGATATTCGTCGTATCTCCAAGAACAATAAAAGATACAATTTTTGTTGTTTATCAAAGACATTTTCCCAAGTACCTATCCACCTGGATACTTATTATAGGACATCGTGATCTGGATGGTGATCAGCAAACTCGACCGCAAAGTGCACTTATACCGCCCAGTATATTATGATGATATTGAATTTTTGTAATTCCATTTACAATTGCATTTTTAAATACAAAATAGTTTTGTTTTAACGACCACTAACAATGACGCGTACACATAGCAAGATGCAGGTAATACAAATGCCATTTTTTGTATACTTTTTACACAAAATATTTTAATGTTACTATTTTGAATTTTTTCTAAACGCTTTGCTTTTTAATCGTGTCTTTAATACTATATATGAACACAGAATTTGATGACCATACAATACAATATGTGTAACGAAACATAACGTTTAAAACGATTAAATTAATACGCCTACGGACGATTTCACCGACATTTTAATAAATATTACAAATATATGGGATCAAAAGAAAGGACGCCTGACTATCCTGTAGCTCTACAAAATATTATAAGCATTCAATCTATTCCGTATCCGGTCCGACTGTAACGGATGTTTTTTTTTTTTTAATATATTATATTATTGCTGATTTGTCCGTTCTACAATACATGTCAATAGTGTAATATTACTAATGTATTAGTTTATTATTATTATTATTATTATTATTATTATTATTATTATTATTATTAATAGTCGCATCGACTCTCGAACAAATCCGGTACGTTTGAAATTAACTATATTATATATATATATATTGCACTACTCGTAGTTTTATTATAATTGCATATTATTATTATTGTAGTGAATATATATTATATTGACACATGCTTGCCTGTAATATGTTTAATGATTTTGTTGATATGTTGTTGCGCGATGAGAGTTCCCTTCGATTTTATATAGTGGTATGCTCTTATTGTTAATTTTTAAACACCTTTTGTAATAATATATATTTATCCATTATATAATATTAACCTGGCTGAAAATCACTAAAGATCGTATAATGATATTATATTAGAATAATTGCAAGAAACGTCCAATAATATTATACGTTATTATAATAGGAACCTACTCGTGTGTGCATAAGTACTCGACTACTCCTTCATTTATTTTACTGTGACGTTTTTATTTTTTCCAAAATACGTACCTATATAGAATGAGATATTTTCTATATTATTATTATTATTATTATGTAGTTGTCAATGGGTTTGATATTTTTCCTACATTTATTATTATTACTATATGGATGCTCGTGCCGATTGAGTGTGAAATAACATAATAATATTATGATCGTTGTGATTATTATTATTATCATGTTTTGTACTGGCTGACATAATAACAATATAATAATATAAAATGACCATCGGTGTGTCATTACATTAGTATAACATATTATTATTATTATTATTATTATATATTATAGAGTTTTAGTGTGTAAGAATTAGATTTCGGTTGTTCGACATAATTCGCCTAATATTCATGTATTATTATTATTATTATTATATATTATAGAGTTTTAGTGTGTAAGAATTAGATTTCGGTTGTTCGACATAATTCGCCTAATATTCATGTATCATAATATAATATGGGGAATACATATATATGTATAAGACGGGAGTTCGTTATTTTTATTTTTGTGCTGTTCGATTTCTTCGTTTTCTGTTTTATTTACTTAATTTATTTTGTTCATTGCAAGAATCTTCTATACATTAAAATCCAGTTACTTTTCCCATGACAATAATAATATATAGTGAACTAATATAACTACCGCAAATTTCTATACTATAGCGTATATTAATTAGATTAGGAACTCAAAATAAAACGAATAGTTAAGTTAATTAACCTAGGTCATCTTCGATTCTGATTAGAAAAATGTATGTAATTTAAAACCATAGATGTTTGTCTTTTCAGTTCAGATTCCGCAGGTTTCCGGTACTCAAAAATTGCATTGAAAGGTTTTGGTCAGGTTCCGGTTTATAAAATATATAAATCAAAGGTTCACTCCAAACCCGTTTTTTCTTTAAATTTGAACTTTGAAATATATCAGTTTAATTTTTTTATACACTAATAAAACAAATAAATAAAAGTCGGTCCCTATGTACCCGAATAAATAATCACAAGTCACTATCAATAGTTATTGTAAAATTCGATATTTTACTTTATATGGTTCCGGTTATTTTGAAATTTTGAAATTCTGTGCCTTATATTTTAGGATTTTTGGGTCCCAGTCCCCGAAAATTACCATACATAGTTGAAGTATTATTAACATTATAACTGTGTCAATTTTCTAACCGAGAAAATGCAAAAAAAAAGTTAATATGACGATACGAGTTCCTATTGTCCAATACGTATAGTACATGTATAAAGAAGTCTGCGTTAAAAATCTGTGAATATTACCGTATTTTATTAATATTATTATGCAAATTGCGAATTGTTTCCTGTTTTCCTCTTCTTCCGGGCTTTTCTTTTCTCGTCGTTTATCGATCGGATTCAATTTAACGTGCCAGAGATCAACCTCAGGCATAGTCTGCGATTGTTTTTCGTAATTTTGTTGTTATTCTTAAATCGTTTTTTTTCTAACCTTACGTCCGTACTACAACATCTGTTCGTTCTGTAATTGCTTGTATTTTGTTTGGAATTTTTCTTTTTTATAATATGCGATGTCAGCGAGTGAAGATTTGCACAGAAATGCGGTTGTACCTGAGGACGAGTGATGTTAACTTGAGTTTTCACTATAATATATACAAGATCATGCTCAAAACGAGGTTAGGTGCGTTCTGTAGTAAAAATAATAATTAATAAAATAAAATAAAAGCACTGTCCGAAACAATAAATACTCTACATTTTTCCTTTTTACGGGACTTATGACATTCCACAAAATACGTGATTGAAGGATAATGTATGCATAATATTATATATTAATTATAAAGGTGTTTAATATATTATTCTTACTGTTATGTGTCTCCACTATTAAAGTCGACCTTATTATTATTATTATTATTATTACTATTATTACTATTATTATTACTATATTATTGTAAACGAATGTATGAAATTATGTAATTTTATTTCATTTATTCCAGTATAAAAAATTACACTATATATAATGATTTTCCGCGATTTTATTATCATGTAAAGTTATATATATATATATTATATACATATAGATACATAATTTGTACAAATGTCTTAAGGTCATTTTTTATGTACTAATAACATTATTGTCTTGAACATTATATATACTTTTTGCTTGTGAACGATTGAATATCATATTTTATGTAACAATGTATGCCAAACTTCACCACAACCTGAAAAGAACAGAAAATCTCCTTCAACATTAATCTGAAAACCATTTACGATACATTTAGGGCGGTATAATATACTATTATGCAAATCCATACACACACTGTACAATGAAATATTGTATAATGTCTAAAAACGACTACAATCATAACACAAGATACACATAATTATAGTATAACAATACGTATACCTACAGATACAATGTTATAATTAAAAAAATAAACTCCACGTATATATATATATATATATATTATAATAATATTGTGATAGGTGTTCTTGCAAAATTAAATGTTGTAAGAAACTTGTTCCTACACATACATAATATAGACACGTGAATAAAAATATAGAGACGGAATACATTTGACTTTTATTAGTTATTATACACTTAGTTACTTATCGAGCTGACACTCGTTAACCTAAGTCAGGGATGGCAAACCTTTTTGTACCAGCGTGTCAAATAAAAATTTTGGTTGGATTTTGTTTCACACACCCTGCGTGTCAATTAATTCGATGACCCTTCAATTTTTTTTTCAAAAACTTTAATATTATCAAACGTATACATATTCGTGTGTGTCACTAAAATAGTGTGCGCGTGTCACTCTGTGACACGTGTGTCATAGGTTCGCCATCTCTGACCTAAGTACTGTGGTAGTGGGCCGGCTATCACATTATTGAGCATAAAAAACTTATTTTACTACACAATCGAGTAAATTTGACGACGTATCAAAGGATTTGGAAGGACAAAAGAACAAAAGATACCTAACCTTCAACATAACAAATTCTGAGATACTACTATTTGCAACTATTTTAAACTGTATTAAATAAGAAAATATTAAAAGTTATGTTTCTTTTTTTTATATGTATGATATTATAGTAAAACCCCCATGTAACGGAATCGCTCTGTACTAAATGACTTTTCCGTCATAGGGAGATTAAAATATACGATAGGTCGCTAGGTTCTACGGTTATTTTGTTATTTTCCGTGGTAAGTAGATTTCCATCTTATAGGGGGTCTGTTATAAGGAAGTTTTATTGTGTATCGTTGAATAATGTAGACACACTGTACACTTAACACACTGTACATAAAAATTTAGGCTCGTTTTTCTGAC